AAGTCTTTCTAGATACTTCCAGTACAGTAAGCAGTGTACTGGCTTCAGGAACATTTGGGCTTTGTAAAATAAATGACGCTGTCCTCCAGGATGACCGAGACACGCATGACATTGAACTAGGTTTGGCCTACCCAACAGGAATATTGTGAAATACTGCTATTTTGTGATCCAGATGTTCTCTTTTTTGTTGCTAGATACGATAGAGGATGCAAAATTGTTTTTAGCAGTGAGTAATCTAAATTACACGATAACCGCAGAAGGATATAGGACAGCTTTAATCAAAACAGAGAATGTATCACTGATTCTGGTTGCACCATTTGTCACCCAAGCCCTTGCAGCGACAATACTTGGAAATTCCTTTCAAAGAAGCAAATCTAAAAGAAAAAAAAACTCCTTGTGCATTAAATTGCACGTCATGAATGATTTATGCGAAGAAAAAGAAAACAATGTTTTTAGTTATTCTTGTTTTTTTTTTTATTGGTAATTTTCGATTTCTGTAAATCTGATGATATTGAACGCGGACTGCAAGATTTCCTGCTCTACAGAAAGTCTTGGTGAAGAGAACCTATGTAGTGTATATATAGTGGTTACTTTAGAGTGTTTGAGACCAGCATTAGCTTCTATTTTAAGAAAAAATTAATTATACAGTACCACAGTCAGTGGCATATATAGAAGTCTTGAAATGGGGGGTGCTGATGGGGGCATGAAGGTGAAGTTGGGGGGGCTGATGATCAGTTGAGGGGCACTAATTCGCAAAATAAGGTGATTTTATGTGATTTTAAACTATTTTACCATAATTTTTTGGGGACACTGGTTGAGGCGTGCGCACCCCCTGGATACACCACTGACTACAGTATACACATAGGTTTAAGTTTGATCCATGGGTTCATAAATTTAGTATTTTTCATACTTAATAATTGTGTGTTTGTGTTAGTATTCCATTATTGTTTATTGATCCATAATTAATAAAAAAAGAAGAAAAGGAAAGAATTGCAAGTCAATTTAGAAGATGAACAAACACAAATGTTGAAACAACAAACCAGTTGGTGGATCCAGGAATTTGAAATAGATGGGGGCCCAGAAAGTCACTTAAGCAGATGGGGGGTCCAGACCACCTCAGTCCCACCATGTTTGGGGCTGAGGTATGAAATATGGCTCTATGGCACTTCTAGATGACTGGAAATGGCATCCTCAGGCTACATTTTAATGTAATTTTCTTTTTACCTTTTTTTTTTATTTTGAACAATTTGGGAAGGAGGGGCACAGGCCGACTGGTACCCCCTCTGAATCCGCCTATGTACTGTACGAATAACAGAAAATAGTTTGTCCTACTAGTATTTGAAATTCTCTTTCATAAGCAATTTTTGTGAACAAAGAATTGTAATAATGATTTTGTTTGTATTCTTTGTTGAGGATTTGATTTAAAACTTTCTGTTCAAAGTGAACCCAGCCTATGATTAATGGTCTACCCATTGTGGACCTACAGTATGTCCAAGGAAGTACTGTACAGTAACTATTAGGAAAGTTTCTATGAAAAGAAAAATTTTAACTCGCATTTTACAGCTGGTTGCTGCGCATGCCTATTGTTTAAATTTTATGGCATGAGTCAACAACGTGCTGAAGATGTGCTATGAAAGGGGGCAGTGACTTGTGTGTCATTGAAAAATGTCAAAATAATGAGTGTTACGTACTTTGGTCAATGCCTTCACATTAGCATACACAACCTCCACTATTGCCATAGGATTTCACATCATGCAACATTGTGTACACACCTACTCAACACATCCTACCAGAAAAAATTGCAACCAGAACATTAAAAAATAAATAATACAAATTTGCTGATTTATAGTCATTTTACTATATAATTAGCATTACATAATACTAGCCAACTAATGGGTCTATGCAAAATAATACATGAAACATATTATTTACATGTGCTACACACAAGGTATTATTTACATGTCTGTTAAAGATGTATTGTCCCCTGAAAATGACAAAAAATCATAAAAATGATTTTGAAATTACCTTGTTTATTTTGCAGTTACAACTTACATACAAATTATTAATTGGAGTATAGAATTTTATTGAATCTAAAAAATATGTACCCTGATTTTTATACTGGATGGTGATGATAAAACAATTAAAACACTTACAGTGACTGGAAGTATTTCTGTCATTGTTCGCTGTAAAATTATAGGTAAATATTTTTTAATTACTTTTTATGTTCAAGTTGATAATTTTTATATTACATTAAAATGCGCAAGTTGGTTTCAAAAAAATGATTTTCATGAATTTGTTGGTATTTTGCATGGAACAATACGTCTTTAACATAAATGTAAATATGTGAAATTCAGATTGAACAGATTTTTTCAAATTTTTAGCTCATGACAGATAGTTACTGTGATTTCATGTTAATACAGTATATATAATACCAGTAAGTTGAGTCCCTGAGTGTATTTAGGTAACTATATATAGGTTTTAGTATAGTGGTCCAATTTGTCAACAACAGATGTTTGTGTTTGTCGATAAATCGGAAACATCTGTGCCTGTACTTTTGCCACGACAAAGTAACAACAACAGTAATGCACATGTCTCATCCACCATAACATTTCAGCCAGTAAAAGTAATTTAATTGTACAGTACAGTATATTTGAATGTCATATTTTAGATTTCCTACTGTGTGTGTATTATATATATATATATATGTGTGTGTTAGCCTTGACTTCCACCGGATACAGCACTGAGAATACAGTGCAAGTATGATAGATCAAAGGCTTTTAAGCCCCTTTTCCCACGTTATTTTGACTTAATTTGCAAAAACTATAATGGATCTAACATGCATTGTATTCATGGGCAAGAAACAGGTTAAGAAGGATTTAGGTGCTATTTGATTATGAGATAGGATTCTACAGATTATTTCAACTGAACATTACCAAAGCAGAACGCTAGGTGACAGTTGTTAAATACCTTAGGCTATAGTTGTATGCCTAGGCGGGACCAGTTATTCAATTAGCTAAGTATGTAGTGTTTGACTTAATATAGGATCACAGCGAGAGCACTCGATCCTTTCAATCCATAGTTATTATTTCTGGGCCTCATGATTTATTTATTTTTTGAAGGAAAAAAAAAACCAAAATGTACTCTTTATCAAAAACATTAATATAAATTAATCATTTATAAATTGTTGATAGTCTTTATGTTTTGTATGGTAGGCTTATACTGTAGTATGGGCCCACTACTACTGTACAATACAGTATTCTAAACATACATTATATCATGTTCACATGATATATGATTTTTAAAATAATTTTGTATAAATGTTTATGACCATATCAACTCAAGATTGATATGTGAACAGATACTATGTGTTTTTTTTAATGTTTAAAGGTCATATTGATTTATTTATATTTATTTTTAACCTTTCATAAACATAAATTTTTACCCTTCATACTGTATACAGTTAGTAAATAGAGTTCTCAGGCACCACAAAAATAGATGCATTGTTGTTGAGATCATATACTGTAGAAATAATCACACAAATACGTTAAAGTGAATTCAAATGCCTGCATTTCTCGATGAACTGTTCGCGGAATGCCGCACTCTGCGGTGAATGTGCGGAAGACTGTCATTATTGGTTAAGCGTATGAATGACCGGGTATCATGTAAATGGCCCATAATTCTCGACTGAGGTTCAACTCGGAGCTAGCTATAGCAATGTGTAGGATGAGGTGATAATTCAACACTGAAGTTTTACTAGTAAATTTACGCAACCAAGCTTGTAATTACTATTTGTGGGGAAAATTTTGTTTTAACCTCACCCTAGTTCCATTGCCTGTGGATGTATTTATCATAGGAAAGTAATTCAAAGGCCAACTGTAAAGCTCACTATAAATGTGATCTACTCAAATATTTTCTTGATTTTCTAAACCCTGTGCTTCATTTTGTGGCAAGACCTCACAAATATTTAATACTCTCATATAAAGTAGAAGATCCATTATTTTAATTAGAATTGTTTAATATTACAATGTCTATCAATGTATCACACTCACTCATAATTTTCCTTGAACTGATTTCTCAACTGAATTAAAGGTTTAATACCATTTTGCATTTTTGTAATTTGAATATATAGGTTAAGGTTCATTTGTATATATATATATTGTACATCTAATAATGTTAATTTTCAATTGCTATCATTGCAATATAGCTGAAAATCTACAAGGATATTATTTTAATAGAGGCAGCTAATAGTCTTTAATTAAACAAATTCCCAATTCTTAATATGAGATTATTGTTCCAATCCATGCATTAAAAAATATCCAATCACAGTTTAAGAATTCATTTGAGACTGGAGTAACAATAGCCACTGCCTTTTATAAAACTTAATCTCAATTCAACAATCTTCCCTGCATTATTTTTCCGTAAAATGCATCAGATATACAGTATTTTGAAAATGTATGTTTTTATATAAAGCCCATCTACAACAGAAAAACATACAGTAACACTGATCCTTAAAATTCCTCCTGTTTGGACAAACTATGGCTGGTATGGCAGTTCATGCGAGAGAGAAAATATGATCTTAAGCTTGTACAATCACCCATGTCAAATATAATTTACAGTTTATACTATAATCGTAATTCTATCAAGACTTCGGATATTACCTGATAAAGGCTTAAAATTACTCCTGTCAGCCTGAAAGAAATATGATAGCAACTCTTTAGTCCAGGCGGTCTTGTTATTGTTATTGGAGTATATTTCCCCATGTTTTTCATAAATATATTTTTTTTAAATCACAGTAATTAATAATGATAATATAAATAAATATAGTTTAATGATGTCAAATTTAATTGAATTTTTATTGATGACCTATCAACACCCAAGATTTAAAAAAAAAAAATCATAATAATTAATAAATGATAACATCAATAGATAGATAATGGTAATTTTAATTGAATTTTTAATGATGACCCATCAACTCTGATTTTTTTTCTCTCTTGATTTAGTATTTAGAAGAATCTCGGAAGACAAGAAATTTAGGTGGCAGAGTAGAGGACAATGGACAAAGAAAATCAGGACAAGAACGGAACAGATACACAATCCAAGAAACCTGGAACAAGGTAAGACACAATTAAATTTATAATTGCCTACTGTATATTATCTGCTGCAGGACATATTTGTGCATTGTAAGACAGATTTTCAAACCATTCTTGTTATTGTTATTGGAGTATATTTCCCCATGTTTTTCATAAATATATTTTTTTTAAATCACAGTAATTAATAATGATAATATAAATAAATATAGTTTAATGATGTCAAATTTAATTGAATTTTTATTGATGACCTATCAACACCCAAGATTTAAAAAAAAAAAATCATAATAATTAATAAATGATAACATCAATAGATAGATAATGGTAATTTTAATTGAATTTTTAATGATGACCCATCAACTCTGATTTTTTTTCTCTCTTGATTTAGTATTTAGAAGAATCTCGGAAGACAAGAAATTTAGGAGGCTGAGTAGAGGACAATGGACAAAGAAAATCAGGACAAGAACGGAACAGATACACAATCCAAGAAACCTGGAACAAGGTAAGGCACAATTAAATTTATAATTGCCTACTGTATATTGTCTGCTGCAGGACATATTTGTGCATTGTAAGACAGATTTTCAAGCCATGTGTATTTTATTTTTCACTTGTTTGAAACTCACAGGTTTGCTCGTGAATTACATAGAGTGAATGCTTTATGGCAGGTTGAGATTGATTTCTAAATTAATTTTCAGTTTACGGTACCTAGTTCAAAAGTACAATCATCAATATAATCACAGTCCTGGAAACAATTAGATCGGAGGAGGGGGTAATGGAGGTAATGGTGACGATTTCATTGTTTTTTATGAGGTGGGAGGTGAAGTTCTTGGATTCAGTAAGGCAAGGTGAACTTGAATGCCTAGCACCCCCCAACATTCCCCCAAGCAGAGTCTGGAGCAAAACCCTCTTTTGGTTTGGAGATGGGCCCAGAAGACACTTGGAAATTCATCAAACTTGAAATCTCTGATCAAAGCACATTCAACAATATTTTTTCCCTTATCATTGATTAAAATTGGCAAACATAAATAAGGTACAACCTCCACTCCGATGGGATCATTTCTAGTCATTACATGGAGAGAGGCGACACAGTTGCCTTGCCCAAGGCCACAAGTTGCACAGATAGAGATTACCTCTGTTCTCAAGCCTGAGAAACCAAATCACAGCTGCTCTGCCAAAAGCTCTACAGGATTGTACACCTTACGGTGTTTACATTGCAAAGACACCGGCGAAGACACTGCGGCAAATTCCCCATGGTAGACAAAAAAAATCGCCAAGGATAGGCCAAATTATACTTTCTTAATAGATTTTTTTTTTAGTCGATTCCTATAACAGTGCCATGTGAATTTCATTCATGTAGCTTTTGTATTTTTGGCACAACAAAAAGTAAGATAACCAGTTTTCTGATTTACCGTACATTTTGCTTGTCCTGGGCAATTTTTTTTGCCTACCAGGGAAGTGCACCGCCAGCGTCTTCTCCAGGCCAATTTAAACACCGAAAGGGGTCTATTAAAAACAATATAAAATTGTAGAAAGTTTTTTAACCCAAAGTACAACAATCTGTGCTCGAAATCTAGTGACATGACAAATAAAACTAGTCTTAAAAGTGGATTTATCCAGTGTAAACACCAAGGATAGTCCACGAAAGTCTAGAAGAAGACTTATTTCCAGTGGGGTCGTTCTGGTGGTAATTGGGCAGTGCACTGGGAGACAATCGCCTACTCTTTTTCGAAGAGTGTAGTGCGTTATTTAATGTGTACATGGGCCATAAATGCACACGGGACCAACGGCTTAAACGTCTCATTCAAAAGACGGTGCGCTAAATTGTAACTTGTATTTTAGCCTGCAGCTGAAACACAAGGAGAGGCAGCGATGGGCATGGACCTTTATCATCATCATCCCCACCATTAAAATGGACCTTTCCGGTAAGCCCCGCCCCTTGGATATTGTTGCTAATGTCCCACAAGACGATAGCACTGTTCTGATTGGTCAGTTGTTAAGTTTGACACTCCGGAAAGGTGTATTGAACCGGGGACCTAGAGATCTCAACGGTTTAACGCACACACAGTGGCTACTACAATTTCAGTGTTACATTTGCATGCAATCGCTATGCCTATAAAATATATCCTAATGCGAGACTGATCTTAAGAATTATACTTTGAGATGCAGAAACATACTTTATGCCATATATGATGCTAATAAAATACTTATTTATTCATCTTGTGACATGGCTGTGTGGTCTCACAAATTAAGCATTTAAAAAAAACCTTATTAAACAGAATGTATGAGTCAAGTGTAATATATCATTTCAATAAATATTAATGAAGATTAAGGGTAATTGAAAAAAATGTGATTCATATTTAATACAAATTTATGGCGCATAAATATATTTGATATAAATAATTAGTATTTTTTAAAATTTCTTTTTACTGAAACAATTACAAAAGATAAAAGATAAAATATATTTTTTGTGCCAATAAATTAGTATTGAATACAGTACTGTATTTTTTGCTGTACTATAGTAAACATTGAGTGCTAATGAAACATTACTGCACGCAATATCCTGCTAGTCAGTGGCAATACATGATTTCCAAACAAAGACTTTTGAAATGATATGACGAGTGTTCACAATGTTTATGTATGCATCGTGCAGAAATTCAGATACAAGTCGTACAAATTGAGAGCTACTTAGATTTAGCGTCTCTTCAGTTAATTGTCTTCATCTTTGTAGATCAAACAAATTGTGTAAATGTATGTTCATATCTTAAGTGTATGTTGTATTAAAGGTTTTTTTTGTGACATTGGATGATATTAATGTTTCTTCATGTTGGTTTATCCTTTGTATATTTATAGCAAATGGACTGTTTATTTTTCTTCATATACATTCTTTTGTTGTAATTATACTTTGTGTCTGTGTCCTAAATATATTTATGATGATAATAAATAATAATAATGATAATAATAATAATAATAATAATAAATGACATAGTATAATTAAATGATAAAATAACTTTAGGATTAATGATAATAGTAAGTTGGTATGTCATTATTACAGAATGGATCTACAAAATTCTCATTATCATAAATTCTTAAAACCAAAAAATACTGGTGATCCAGAATTTGAATCAAGTACTATGGGATTGCAAAGCAAGTGCAGATTTTTTTTTCACTCCTCCGATTTGATTGAGAGTCTCACAAATTTGCATGCAGTTTACCTAGTCTCTAGAATTTTGTAAATCTCCTATATTTTCAAACGAAAAAGGCAATTTTGCTTTTTCAAATTTTACAATGTTACCTCTGGCCTAGAAAAAAAAAAAAAACTTACTTTGAGCATAAAAAACAACTACGTGCTTGATTTCAAATTGGCCATGGTCGATACTTCCAACCTTCATCTCCCGAATTTTGAGTTTCAGGGATAGCAAAACCTGCGAGCATTGGGCCGATTACATACAGTCTATACCAATTTTCCCTGAATGCATAAACTAGTGCTTCTCAGTAAAAACTCTTTACATAAATTTTGTTTTCTAATTTCAAGTAACAGTTTGGTAAACTGCATTATTCATTTAGCAATAGTTTGTTCCATATTTTCGGGATATTTGTGCCAACATTGTTTCACAGATTCATAGTTTGGTTTATTTAATATTTCATTCAAACATATATTTACTGTATACCGTAAAAAACATTAGGATAACTTGCAGACAAATAAATGCAATTCTTAAATTTATCATACTCTAATTTACAAAAGGCCAACATGATAAGATTCAAATATAATTAATAATTATACTTTGAGATGCAGAAACATACTTTATGCCATATATGATGCTAATAAAATACTTATTTATTCATCTTGTGACATGGCTGTGTGGTCTCACAAATTAAGCATTTAAAAAAAACCCTTATTAAACAGAATTTATGAGTCAAGTATAATATATCATTTCAATAAATATTAATGAAAATTAAGGGTAATTGAAAAAAATGTGATTCATATTTAATACAAATTTATGGCGCATAAATATATTTGATATAAATAATTAGTATTTTTTAAAATTTCTCTTTATTGAAACAATGTATTTACAAAAGATAAAAGATAAAATATATTTTTTGTGCCGATAAATTAGTATTGAATACAGTACTGTATTTTTTGCTGTACTATAGTAAACATTGAGTGCTAATGAAACATTACTGCACGCAATATCCTGCTAGTCAGTGGCAATACATGATTTCCAAACAAAGACTTTTGAAATGATATGACGAGTGTTCACAATGTTTATGTATGCATCGTGCAGAAATTCAGATACAAGTCGTACAAATTGAGAGCTACTTAGATTCAGCGTCTCTTCAGTTAATTGTCTTCATCTTTGTAGATCAAACAAATTGTGTAAATGTATGTTCATATCTTAAGTGTATGTTGTATTAAAGGTTTTTTTTGTTACATTGGATGATATTAATGTTTCTTCATGTTGGTTTATCCTTTGTATATTTATAGCAAATGGACTGTTTATCTTTCCTCGTATACATTCTTTTGTTGTAATTATACTTTGTGTCTGTGTCCTAAATATATTTATGATGATAATAATAATAATAATAATAATAATAATAATAATAATAATAATAATAATAATAATAATAATAAATGACATAGTATAATTAAATGATAAAATAACTTTAGGATTAATGATAATAGTAAGTTGGTACATGTCATTATTACAGAATGGGTCTACAAAATTCTCATTATCATAAATTCTTAAAACCAAAAAATACTGGTGATCCCGAATTTGAATCAAGTACTATTGGATTGCAAAGCAAGTGCAGATTTTTTTTTCACTCCTCCGATTTGATTGAGAGTCTCACAAATTTGCATACAGTCTACCTAGTCTCTAGAATTTTGTAAATCTCCTATATTTTCAAACGAAAAAGGCAATTTTGCTTTTTCAAATTTTGTCTACCATAGTCTCTAGAATTTTGTAAATCTCCTATATTTTCAAACGAAAAAGGCAGTTTTGCTTTTTCAAATTTTACAATGTTACCTC